GAAAACAGATCTCATAATTTAGGCATATCTATTTTACTAAATTACCGCCCTACTATAAAGTCTGGAACGAATAAAATTGATATTATTTAGATGTTGTACTTGTACTTAAAAGTACTAAACTACCCACCGATAAATATTAGTTAGAACCAGGACAAATTTGGCTACATTCTATATTTTTTATGAGTAGCGACAGACATTTGAAAAACCTCAAGTCATAAAGAAACAGATTTAGAAGAATATACAAAATAAAGACTCACTCACCTGAACCATATTCATACCAAAATATTTCCCTAAACACTTTTAAACATTCACTAAACAGTTATAAACAGCCACTGTGATTTTCCAACAAGATATGCTTTGCTTACTACAAAATGAAATAAACTACGCGTTAACTTCACCACCCGGAATCTAACAGAAAACTGATTTAAGTTCGGGAAATCGACAGTTGATGCTAAATTCTTATTTTGCATTTTATTACGTGGGCTTTATTTGTTTACAACCTAACAAAGCTACACCCTATTTTACAATTATTTATTTAACTAAGCTGGAAGCAGGTAGTTTCGTAAATACTGCGGCGGTTTGTTTAAGCCCCTTCTTCGAAAACTGCTTAAAATACAATTAGGAAGTATTTATCTTGACAGCGGATTAAAACGGTATGTCTGTTTAGAAAGCCCTTTGATTTTAGTATGTAATGACAATGAAATATTTAAAAGAAGTATAATAATACTTACTATTTTAATATTATCAAAAAATTTCTAGTTAAGTTATTATTCAACTATGATTTTGGGACAAGTAAGTATAGCCAACCATACAAACGTAGAAAAAGTATAGAATATTTTTATAATAAACTTATGTGTATAAATAAACCTATAAAAATCATACGAACAAACTGAATTTTGCCGAGAATATTAATTTTGGGACTCCAAAAGAGACGCAAAAAAGTTTACCACTCTTACCCCCGGACTTCCTCCTCTAACCCCCCTTGCAGGGTGGTAAAAACGCAAAAAAAAACAATTTACCAATAAAAAAATACGCCTTAAAAAATGTTTAAAATAAAAAATGTAGCTAAGATCATTTTAAACAAGAATGTTAATTAGCACCTTTTCTGTAGAATGAACCGTTCTATCACAAACAATGCTTGAACGACCGTCGATTTTGCGAAATCAATGGTCAATAAAATTTGTGTTAGTTCGACGGTAAAAATTCGATATCTTTTAATTCGAGTGTACTAAAGACAAAAATCAAGATGTATTTTAAAGGTAAAGAGATCAGTCTTTGTCAACCATTCTTTAATTTTATCAAGAGTCCAAGAATTCGTTGGACTTTTGTTTAATACTTCAGAATGGTAAGGTGCATTGTCTAAAATAATTACGCTGGGCTCACTTAAACCTGGGAGAAGTTTTTCATGTAACCATTTTACAAACATTTCTGTGTTCATATTATCGTGATAGTCACTTGATTTTGATTTAGATGAAAATATTAAATCAGCACCTTCTGTAAAACCGATTTCCCTCCTGCATGTAAAATTATGTGTCGCTTCCCTTCTCCATCAGTATGTTTGATAGACTTACGTTATCATCTTGCCATATTCTCTTGGTTGCACCCCTAGAAAATATCCATGTTTCGTCTAAATATATAAAATTTGCCCTTTCTTCTTTTAATTTAGAATATTTTCTTAGAAAGTTAATTCTTTTATGCACAACGGAACTTCTTTCACAAAGGACTTTTCTGTTATCCTCCTTTTGAAATTTGAAATCCAAATTATGTATCTCTTGCCATAGACTTGTTCTGCCAATTTCGTCATTTCTATCTTTTAATTCCGAGAGAATTGTATTTAAGGTCACATGTTCCTTGTTGGCTCGCATTCGATAAATGGTATCATGAATTTTTTTTCTATCTGGAATATCTTTCGTTTTCAATGATATGCGAGTTTTTCGGTGATCTTCTTTCGGCCGTTCATTATTGCGATTTTGTAATACTCCTCTTAGTTTGGTTTCACTAATTCCTAGAGCATCACATACGCGTTGTTGAACAGACATTACCAATTTTAAAGGACCGCCATTTTCTTTTTCATCCGTAAAATACTTATGTACACTACAAATTAGACTATCTACATCTAACACACGTCTAGGCATTTTTAAATATTTCCACCAAACATACAATGTCAACACTGGCAAAGAATCAATTCAAGTGCAATATTGTAACAAATTTATACCTACTCTAATGTTATTTTAATGTATTTTAAAATATGACCATTAATGCAGTTTTTACCTAATTTTCTGGGAAGTCGTTTACTGCAACTGGTTATCAATGAGTCATTAGCATAATTTTGTTAATCCGAAACCCGCGTAAATATAGCGAACCGACTATAGCAGTCGCTATAGTGTATTTTTATGTATGAGAGAGTAATAAAATAATAAATTATGTATGCAAATCCCTAAACTGTTGATACGGGTGACTCAATGAAAAACAGATATTTGTCAACAAGTTTACAGAAGTATATAGGAAAACAATTTTAAATCGAGTATGACCACCAGGTATAAAGGTTGGAGCAGAATAGAATACAATAGTTGTGAGGGTTACTAATCCCTAAATAAGGTTGCCAGTGTCGGAGTGATGGAGGTTAACAGGTACTAATGAATTTGCAAGAAATGTAAGATGTTTATTTTATTGGTTATATATAACCAATAAAAGTTTAATAAGTACCTACCTATTTGCAAAATAAAGTTTTTTTCTTTAGATAAAATAAAACGTTTTATTTTATCTGAAATGAGTGAATTCCACGAAGTAAGGGTTTCAACAATCAAACATTTAATTCTTTAATTCCAGGAATCTACGACAGTAATTGACTAGATAATTATTTTCTAAACTTATTCCACAGAAAATGTGATAGTGGGTTTTTCCATTTTGTAGGAAGGTCCAAGTGGCGTATTCAAAATTCTTAACAGTTCACTAAAAGTAGGTACTTCAGTTGCAAGGTGCAGTTTATTGTGTATACTAGTGTTATGGAAAATTTGGAAGTGCCGTGTAAACGCCGAAAAATTGGTCCTTTAACAGTTAATGAAAAAACATTGATATTTAATTGTTTTAAATCATTTACAGACAAACGTTTATGTGAAAGTGTTGATGAGACCGTTGAGTTAGTTAGCAGTACACTTGGTGTTGGGAAGTCTACGATTTACAGAGTTATTAAAGAAGAGAAATGTGGTAGTTTTCAAATGCCACGTAATGCTCCAGGGAAACCAAAATTTCAAATAGAATATCATTTTAAAGAAGGACTTCGACGGAAAGTGCATGAATTCTTCTTTAGACAAGAATTTCCAACATTGGATAAAGTTCTTGTCTCAGTTCGAGATGATAAGGATTACCCAGAAATGAGTCGAAGTACGTTATGGAAACTTTTAAAAGAAATAGGCTTCCGCTGGAAAAAGAATCCCAGAAAGTCTATTTTATTAGAAAGAAGCGATATTGTCATATGGAGAAGACATTTTCTAAGAACCATAAAGGAAATGAGAAACCAAAAAAGAAAAATATTTTATCTTGATGCACCATGGATCAACGAGGGTCATACACCAAATAAATTTTGGCAGGATGAAACTGTTACAAGTCAAAGGCACGCTTTTGTAAATAACTTATCTACTGGTTTAAACCCACCATCAGAAAAGGGACGCAGGCTGATAATAGTACACATTGACAGTTCAGACGGTTTTGTTGAAGGTGGTTTATTAACTTTTGAATCAACTCGTACCGGTGACTACCATGAAGACATGAACGCTGATGTCTTTCAAGAATGGTTCGAACAAATGATAGATCTTCTTCCTAAGAACTGTTTAATAGTAATGGATAATGCAAGTTATCACTCCAGACTTATAGAAGGACTGCCCACAACCAAGTGGTTAAAAAAAGACTTGCAGAATTGGCTGAGTTCAAAAAATATTACGTACCATCCCGGATCTATAAGAAAGGAACTTTATTCGTTGTGTGTCCTTCATAAAGAAAAATTTAAAAAATACGAAATTGATGAAATTGCCAAAAATCGTGGAATGACAGTACTTAGATCCCCTCCATATCATTGTGAATTAAACCCGATTGAACTGGTATGGGCACAGATAAAGAGTGAAGTTTCAAGAAAAAATACCACTTTTAAAATTCATGATGTTAAACAGTTGTTTTTGGAGGCCGTAAATAATGTAAAACCTGAAAACTGGGAAAAGACAGTAAATCACACTATTAAAGAAGAGGAAAAAAATGTGGAAGCTGGACAATATTACTGATAAAATGATCGAGCCAGTTATTATAAATCTTGGTTCTGAAAGTTCATCATCTGAATCTGATTTGGATTTGTAACAAGTAGCTGTAAGTTTTATATTAATATTTTTATTCATCTATTTAACATACCTTAGACGGTTTTAAAAACTCTTTTTCTCTTTTGTAATTTTTAAAAATTAAAAAAAATGTGAATTTTTAAAACCCTTTTAATGTAGGCCAGTCAGTTCTAATATAGTGTGTGATAAAAGAGGTCACTTTTGTTTACATACACATAACACTTTATAACACTGAAATAATTCATTTATTTTTTACAATTATTCAAAGTAATTTTTCAATTAATCTTGAGCCCGCCCATGGAGTGGTCGGAGCTACCAGTTAAAATTATGCTAATTACTCTCTCGTTCATAAAAATAAACTATAGCATTGTGTACTATATTAAACCTGGATTTATTTGTTCACTTCAGATTAGAATATCGAATATCCATTCTGGGTATTACTGTATGTCACAGCACAATATAATGAATTGGAAAACTGAAAAAATTGAAACTAAAACGCAAGAAACGCATATTAAGTGGGAGTTGACACACATATTGAAAGTATTCAACATTTCAAACATTATTTGTAAAAGTTTTGTTAATAAACTTTGTCAATCTAGCAGATTTCAGAGTGTAATTTGTACAAACTGATGTTAATAATAGACAAGTAACTGTGTAAAATAATACTAAACTTACTTTGGTTACAGGCGGGGTTACAGCGGGAGACGATGAAGTACTGGTGGTGTCCACAACTGTAGTTACAGGTGGCGTACTAACAATTTCAGGCGTCAACGTTACTTCGAGTTCCAATTTCACTTGATTACCGCTATACTCCTGATAATTGGCTTCTTGCTTGGTTGCTTCTTTATCACCGATCTCCTCACCCGAAGTTCCTAGAGCTGCCTCTACCATATCAGGGTCCATATTAACATCGTACCTATAAAGGATAAGTAATATCTTAGCCAAATCATTTATATGGTTCTGAAACTATTTTTAATGGCAACTGTATATTGTTTACTTTAGTTCATGAGAATTAACCACAATTTTATTTGAATTTAATTGAAAGTAAATTTATTTTGACGTTTTGATTTCCACTTTGAAAATCGTTCTCTTAAAATATAAATTAAGCAAATTATTTTGTTTTGATATTTAAAATATTATAATAATTAATATTTTTTATTAAAAAAAATATATTAATAATACTTTTTTTAAGTAACAAAACACAATAATCTGTATTGTGAGAACGATTTCCGAAGTGAAAATCGAAATGTCATAAACGCGTTTTAAATGAAAATTGTGGTAAATTCATATGAAATCAAATACATAAAAACATTTAATTTAATAAAGTTTATAATCACTACTTCTGATTTCCTTTTTAAAGTGATTTTTCTATTACTAATGATTGACTATAAACATTTTTCTTTCAATAGTTCTCTTCGCGTTTAATCTTTCTTCCATTAGGAAAACTCTTCAGGGTATAGTCCCGTTCATCACTTTCTTTGATAAATACATTCAATATCTGTAAGTTTTAGACATTATCTGCTATCATAACTGTATCGTCTGCACGTTTGCTCAACTTATCTTCCTGATTCTGTCAATCATGTTACGGTATAAAATAGGAAAAAATATAAGAGTATGTGGTACTAAAATAGTAAATAATAAAAAAAAATAGTAAAAATATGTACGTATAAAAACATATAAGTATATAACAGAAAAAATGTTCTATACACACATTAGAAAACAAAATGTGTCAAAAATATTGGAAAAAAAATTTCAAGCTAAAGATAAGACCCGGAAGACGAATAAACTATAATTCTGACTCTGGCCGTGGAAGCCTACGATTTCATTTGACCAACCTCTACGGGGAGGTTATATTCCGCAAAACCTCAGAGTTCTCCAATCTTCGCTCTAAAGTTTCATCTCTTCCTCTCTAGATGTCGTGATAATAACTTGGTTCCCAATTTTCTTGTTCTAAAACATCACATTTCCTCTTCATCTTCTTCCCGAATTCTACATCGAGACAGCCTATCTCTACTTCGTGAACGGATTCAACATATTCGAAAAACCCTTAATTTTCAATCCCAAAAACTTTTTAAGCTGCATCTTGAACTCTCCAGTATTCTTAGTGTCGATGATTGGTCACTTTTAGACCGCATTTCCTATCATCAAGCCGATAAAATGCTTCTAAGCAACGAAACTCACAAAAAGAAATTCCAATTCCTTGTTTCTAAGAAAAAATCACATTCCACCACTTCTACTTCTCATTCACCTCTTACTAACACCGTCGTTAATCTTTCTTCTCACCAATTAACAAGTGCAGAAAGCAGTCTTCTATCTAAAGGTCTTAATTTTGCTATCACTCCTTCCAGAATTCCTACCGAAGAAATAGTTTCAAATGTGGAAGCGGCACTCCGCACAATTCCCAAAATTCCAGCCGACCGTATCCGCTTTGACGTCGCTAAATGTCTTGATACAGCCAAAATCCCTACTTTCAATATATCTCGTGAGGAATTCATAGCTCTCAAAAATCTCCGTTCTCTTTCTGAGATAATAATCCTTCCTGCAGACAAAGGTAATGCCACAGTCATCCTGGATACTCCTTCCTACATAGAGAAAATAAACGACTTACTTAGGGATACATCCTGTTATAATACAATTTCTCGAGACCCTACTCCTAGAGTTGAACGCGAAATTTCCCATGCCATCAAACAATCCGATCTTTCCGATGATGTTACGAAGTCCATAGTTCCGAAAAACTCCATCTGCCCCAGAATTTACGGTCTTCCCAAAACCCATAAAGACAACGTACCTCTTCGTCCCATTGTGACTACGATTAACTCTCCTACCTACAAACTCGCAAAGTACTTGTCGAATCAGTTTAAGACCTATACTGGTCGTACCTCTTCTTATGTCCGAAATTCCACACATTTCATCACCTTAATCTCCTCCCTCACGGTCGATCCCCAAGACATTCTCGTCAGTTTCGATGTATCATCCCTATTTACCAATATCCCCATACATGACTCTCTAGTTGTTCTGCGAGATCACTTGACCAATGATAACAAGTCTTTGGTTTTGGCAGATTTTGCGGAAAAATGCCTCCTTTCAACATATTTTTCTTTTAGAGGCAATTTCTACAAACAAATATCTGGAACACCAATGGGTTCTCCCCTTTCCCCTGTCATTGCTGACATTTTCATGGAAGCCTTTGTCTTTAGCCCTAGAATCTTACCCCTTAAAACCAAAAGTCTGGTTCCGCTACGTTGATGATACATTTATCATCTGGCCCATGGTCAACATACCCTTTCTCCCTTCCTAGATCACCTTAACTCACAACATCCGAGTATAAAATTCACAATGGAAGTAGAAAATAATCCCTTTCTCGATGTGTTAGTCACCTCCAAGCGCAATGGCCGATTGGGTCACTCTTTTTATAGAAAAAAGACTCACACGAATCGTTACCTACATGATTCATCACACCACCATCCTGCACAAAAGAATTCTGTGATCAACTCTCTCATCCATCGGGCCATTTCGATTTCTGAACCTGACAACCTTAGAGAAGAACTTGGCCATCTGCAAAAAACCCTTGTCGCCAACGGTTACTCCAAGTCCACCACTCAAAATATTACACACCGACATCTACATCCCCTTTACACCCTAGGACGACAAATTCAGAATCTTCGGGTAATACTCCTGTGGCTTTTCTTCCGTATATTCGAAGTGTCACTGATAGGATTGGCAAAATTCTTCGCAAAGAAGGTATCAGGACCACTTTTCGACCACCCAAGAAAATCTCACAATATCTACCCTCTCCTAAAAAAAAGGGATTCACTACCCGCCTCTCGACGCGTTAGTGTTCTGAGCTGTTGGACGTGAATCCCTGTCCTGGCATTTGGTTTTCACCTCTGGCTGCGTTAAGTAGTTGAGTTACTGTGACCAAATGCCCATCTTGGTAGTTAGTATTCGCCTCTGGTTGCGTTGAGTAACTGAGTTACCGTTGCTAACTACCCATCTTCCTGTCTTTTGATTTCTTTTTCTTTTTTCTTTGTTCTCCTGAAGAAGATACATACAATTGTAGCGAAACGTCGAGATGAACCCACTTTTGGGTCACTCACAAATGACACGGTCCAAACCCGGAAGACGAATAAACTATAATAAAGATAAGCCCGTTCATTACATTTTACTTTATAATTTCCAGAACATCAACCTTAGAGTTCAAATTTTCCTAAGACAGATAATAATCCGAAACCCATGCGGACCTGCTCGATCTTTCATAGGCATCAACATGGTGCAATAATCAGAAAAATGTAATCATCATCTTATTTGAAAATTTTAGAATTATATTGATTAAATAACCAAAACCATTTGTTATTATTAATAATATAAATTTTATGAAATAACTCTAAGTCTAATATTCCACAAAATAATAATTTTAATTAAATATATTAGAGAATTGTACGCAACTGATACGGAGATACTTCAAATTTTATTGACAGTTCAGCGTTAGTCAGCGTGTGGCCAAAGTGTATAAAGTGTTGCCGCTTTTTTAGAGTAGGAATGGTGTTTATGTTTTGATTTCTTACACAATTTGATCATAATATAATATATATTAATAAATTGTATTTATAAATACTTATTAAATTTAGATTAATAGCTTAAAAAACTAATTATTGTTGTGTATTGTGATTGTGATATGCCAAAACAAATAGTCTGTAGAAAGCTGATTAGCTTTCATATCCCTAATCCCAATCAAATCCCTAAAAGAGGTAAGTTTAAAATTTAGAATATATAATTTTGTATTAAAATGTTTTCTTATGTATTTTAATGGGTTGCAGTAGTCTTAAAACTAAGTGTATTTACTGTTAATATAATAGTTTGACAAATCGTTGACATTTTAAAAATTCCTCACTTACTAATTATTCTGATGTTTTGGCAACGCTGTGGGGTTCTGACTACGTAAATCTTGCCGGATCTTGACTTCCAAAGTCCATGATCAGTAACATATTCCTTATTACTATCGAAAGCCATGATAATTTTCCTGGGGAAATCCATAGGGATCTTTAATGTAGTGGTTTCCCCTTGCCTTCTACATCCTTATGCCGTTGGCCAAATTTTGGTTCATTCGCCTTCGGAGCCGATTTCTCAACTCCAGGACAAAAGAGTGCCCTACCACTTATAAACTCATCCGCCCGAAGCCGTTGATCAGCAAGTGGGAGATCGCTTATACCGGCAATCGCTCGGTAAAATTTTCGCCATATCTGGCTACCCTCTGGCTAAAAGTGTTCAAAATTGGAGAGTAAAAACTAAGGTTTCAGTTAAAAATAAATTTAAAAAATTATTATATTCGGAGCTTATAAAGGATGTTTATATATAATCTTCTGTCGCTGTTAATTTGATTTATTATCAAAGACGATAAACATAAATTCCAGACCACGTCCCTGAAAATAATGTACCGCAGCAGCTCCTTCGTAATCAATAAAATCTTTAATACTGTAAATTTCACCATCATTTATTATATTTTAATGAAATGTTTATCAAAATTAATTTGGAGAACATATTTATTGACAAATATAATATTGACTAAACTAAAAAATAAATACCTCCAATCGTTAACGACTACAGGAAACCTCCCCTGTTCCAACTTAACTTCCAATTCTTCCTGCATCGGGATGACCTGGACGTGCTCTTCAATTTTTTCCGTAAAATCTTTCTCGGGCGTCGTTTGTGTCGATATCGGCGGTTCCATGTTATGCAAAGGTGGTACTTGCATCAACTTTTCTGTTCTATTATCGACAATGCTCCAACAGCATTCATCTGTCGTCGCTGCAAAAAACGTTATTAGTCTTCATAGTTTATAATGCAACTCGGTATTATGTTCAGTGGCGGGTTTGCGGGAAGGTAAGAGGCAGTTATACATCATAAAATTAAATTACATAGTAATAAATTCAAATTGTATTTTTTTCAGCGATAATATCGCAAGACAAAATATAAATTTAATAAATTTTACTTTTTTATAGAGCTAAATTTCTTAAAAGAAGGTTGAAGCATAAAAATTTAATTCGGAAAAAATAAAACTTTTAGTAATTTGGGAAGACAACTTCACGAATGAGACAAAGGAATATGTCACTACAAATACACATGCTTAATAAATAAGAAAGAAATAACAAAAACAATTATGTACTTTTGAAATCCCGAATAAATCCCTAAAACCATACTTATACAATACTAACCGTAAAAGCCTGATTCCCCTAAAAAAACATATTTATTGGGAGAAGATTTCAAGCAAGTGCATCTTCCACAATTATGCACAGTTAAAGGAACCTTCAACTCAATGCATGCTGATAGAATTTTACATTTTACAAGGGTCGGCAACCAACGGTCCACGGGCCTCAAGCGGCCCTTAAGCCACTAAGGTGCCGCCTGCCCAAGTGTGAAATTAGTTTCCATAAGAAACACTTATGGAATTAGGTTTTTATTCTATTCCATAAGTTTTATGTATATAATAAATAAAAATATTTTAAAATCCGTAAAATAGTTTCGACACACAATTCAGATTTCTGCTTATAATCTGAGCCTTCTAAAAATTGCAAGGCAAACAGACGTTGATAAAAGATGTTAAAAGGGACATGAGGAATCTAAAATTTGCATTCCACGACATGTCTTTACAACTAAGCAGAAATCCTTAGCGAATTGTGTTTCTCGTACTCACACAGACTATATCCGAATAAAATGAAAAAGACAGCAAATATTTGATTCACGCAACCAGCGCCTATGTATCTGTTAATACGTATTTCGACCTAATAGGTCTCATCATAACAGTTATTCATAGGTGTTCTCAACGTGAAAAATCAATATTTTCTGTCTTTTAAGAAGCAACACTAAAATGGCTTCAATACGGACGCGATAGCGACATCTAATAATAAAATCCGTAAAATAGTTTCTAAACACAATTCAAATTTCTGCTTATAATCTGAGCCTTCTAAAAATTGCAAGGCAAACAGACGTTGATAAAATATGTTAAAAGGGACATGGGGAATTTAAAATTTGCATTACACGACATGTCTTCACAACTAAGCAGAAATCCTTAGCGAATTGTGTTTATCAATTTTGCCTAATGCCTAACAAATCCCTAGACCTTCCTTATCGTTCTTAGATATGTACTTTGGAGAAGATCTGCCAGAAAATCAAGACTGGAAAAAATACCTCACAACCAAATACGACAAAATATGAGTCTATTAACAACTATTATTGATGAAATTTAACGCAGACAACTTATTTGGTATGATCATGTCCACACAATGAATGATAGAAAAGTTTCCTAAATACACTAAAATGGGAAAAAGTAGAAAAGATGGAAAAGAGGGAGACCAATGCAGACATGGTTCAAAAGAGCAATGCCGGAAAGGAATCTTCAGGCTGGGGATTGAAACAACAACGGAAAGGCGTAAGACGCTATGAAAACTGGATGAAAAAAAATCTTTTTTAATTGAAAAATACACAAAAATGTCTAGCTCTCAATAATATCATTAGGAAGTTGACCAGTAACTAACGAAAAATCCATCGAATTATGTACATTTCAGGTCCGCCTATTTTATATAATTACCAATTTTTGTTTATTAGATATAGTAAAATATAACTAACTTTCAATGTTCATTTTATATTGTAAAATTGATCAATATTTATTGGAGCATTTATCACTACTATAATTGCAGAAATTACATTACGATATGATTTAAATTTCTGTTGCTAATTTATATTTGATCATTTCTAGAACCTGTTTCCCGTTTGGAAATATTTCTTATTACACCAATGTGAGCAGTTAACTGGTAGATGCCATAAATCGTTCTTTTAACATAATTGGTGTTTTGAAATGTGATACTGGTTAAAGGTAACTACTTATTCCAGTACATGTTTATGGCATTGGGAGGTCTTGCCTCCATGTCACTCCACTTCCTCGAAATTTGATTATGAAACGGTGAAGATTACTCAGATAGGAGATTGGACATACGAGGGCGATTTAATAAGTACTTATCCAACAAAAACGAAAATTTTGGAAAAGTGGCGATTTATTTCTTAAAAAACCTCATTTTAATTCGACACATTTGACCCAGCGATTGTCCAACTTATTTAATCCCTATGGCAAATACATTTTCTCGAAGTGAGCAAGTAGGCCCCAGTGGTGATGATGAGTGACTGTTTAAAATCTGAAAGCAAAAAGGAGTTGCACGGGGCCAAATCTGGAAAATTCGGTGGATGAGGAGCCGTAGTGACGGCGGAGGTGTGATTCAGTGCGTTGTCATGACGGAAGAACTTTTTTCTTCGCCAAATGGGGCAGGTAGTCGACGCGACGTAGATCACGCCCGGTAAGTCTCATAAGCCGGTGGCTATTACCTTTTCGGCCGATAGTCTTCACCTTCTTCGCAGCACATTTGCTGGGTGAAGTCCACTGTTTCGACTGTTCCTTGTTCTCTGATATATAGTAGCAGTGGATACATGTCTCGTTAAACTTCTTAGAATTGTACTTAATCAGCGTCAAACACTACTCTAAAGTGGTCTGACTGTTGGGGGCGAGCAAACCAGCTTTCTCAAGCACCTTCACTTGGCGGTCTACCAATACGAGATAGTGAATGGGGCCATTCTAATGAAATAAAACAACGCACAGGGGAAAATGAGATTACAGCGTTCGTAAAGATAAAGTCTCTTTCAGAAGTCACGATTTACCACTCAGTATCAAAATCACTATTATAGATACTCTGTATTTTGCACATTATTATACGGGGTAGAGGTTTTACACTTTCTGAAGCTTCGAGATGTGGTGTTACAGACGCATGTTAAGAATTTCATGAGTGAATTGTGTGACTAATGTTGAGGTTCTACGTAGAATGTGCAAGCAATGCGAGATTATTAACACAATCAAAGAGCGCAAATTAGAATATATTGGCCATATTATGAGCAATGAACAGAGATACGGCTTGTTGCAACTCATTCTTCATGGTAACGAATTGGAAGAGAGGTCCAGGGGAAAGAAGAATATCTTGGCTTCAAAATCTAAGAAAGTGATTCAATATGTCTACAACTGATCCAACTTGGTAACCGTTTTCGCGGCACTTGGGCCTGGGTCATCAAAAACCGAGGTGCAACCACGTTGAAAATCGTTAAACCAATTTTTGACGAAGAAAGGGAAGTGTCATAGAAGGAGAGGAGAAAACTACAATTCCATTCTCTCTTTTTCCATTTTTCTAAAATCAGCGGACACGTCCACTTCTACATGCGGTAAAAACAAAACTAAGAGTCCGATTTGGCTAAAATTAAGCCGCATACGAGAATGTACTACACATTAGACATTTCTCTTGCGATAGTGGCGCCATCGAACGGTGAGGCTAAGCAGTTATTTGACCGCCTTCGTATAAAAAAAAATTTGATTATTTATGATTATTTATAGAAACGAATAACTTTACAGGTAATATTAAAAAGAAAAATGTGTTCCCGGCATGTGGTTTTAAACTTTTCTTACCTGGTACACTAGGTTCCCCGAATAGAGTAGCTTGTATGTCAACCGGTGTGTTACCATCGGCATCAGTTTTGTCGATTTTTTCGGTAGTGTCAACGTCCGTAAGCTGTCCAGATTCCAACACGTAATTTTCCGCATCGATAAATCTGTAAAAAATAATATTAATGTTAAAATCGGTTGAGTTTTAGGCAATTGTTTCACTGTATCTTGGCTGAAAAACATTCGCGACTGTACCGAGTTCAGCACACAGGCACTTTTATCAAAACCAGAATATAGAGATGAGTTTGCAATGGTTATAGGCAACCTACATTAGTGAGACGGCACTAAAAGAAGAAGAAACTGTATGTAATGGAATATGAAATGTATATTTGTTTTAATACTATTGCTATTATTGTGAGAAGAACAGATCATACAAGGTGGATAGCAAAGATTTCGGATTGGAGCCCAATAGGAAGGAGGAAAAGAGGTAGACCCCGAAGATCATGGAGGGATGAAGTGGACGAGGCCATGGAAAGACGAGACCTTAGAGATGGAGAATGGCCGAACAGAAAGGACTGGAGACGTTGGCTGAAAGAAGGAAGGCGGCGAAAGCTGTAAAATCCTTATATAGATAGATAGCTATTATTGTTGTTGTCATAAGCCACACGTTAATCAATAAAATGTGCTAAAGAAACAAGAAACAGGGAGAACTTCGAAAGAAGACGATTAAGATAAAACTATTCTGGATGTTTATGTTCTTCTTCTTCAAGTGTCATCTCCGCGGCAGAGGTCGGCAATCATGATAGCTATTCGGATTTTTGTGACGGCTGCTCTGAAAAGTTCATTTGATGTACCACTCTCTCAGGTTGCGCAGCCATGACATTCTATGCCTCACTATGCTTCTCTTTCTTTGTAATGTAATCTCTTGAATGTTATTATTTGTGGAGTTAATCATTGTTCCCAGATATGCATATTTATCCACTTGTTCGACGTTGGTTCCGTTTATTAGAAGATTCTCGTTATTTCTTTGAGTTTTCGATATTCTCATAAATTTCGTCTTCTTGACATTCATTGTTAGACCAAACTCTTTTCCATACTCCGCTATTCTAGTCACCAGTCTCTGAAGATCTTCAATATTTTCGGCTAAGATCACAGTGTCGTCCGCATATCTAATGTTGTAAATGGGAACTGCTTTTACCTTTATTCCAGCTGTTTCACCCTCAAGAGCATTTTTCAGGATCTCTTCGGAGTAGGCATTAAAAAGAATTGGCGACAATACGCATCCCTATCCCACTCCACATCTAATTTTAATTTCTTCTGAAATCTGTTCGTTAACACGTACGTTTGCTCGCTGTTTATAGTATCATATTTGATATGATCCTGAGGTCGTTGTAGTCAGTCTTCTTTGATTTCAGGACGTTAATTCATTGTTTATGTCGTACTTTATCAAATGCTTTATTATAGTCAATAAAACATGCGTATATATCTTGACTGACGTCCAGGCATCTTTGTATCAGTATATTAAGTGAAAAAAGAGCTTCACGCGTTCCTAGGCCTTTGCGAAAACCAAATTGTGTATCATTAATGTCTATTTGGGGTGTAGGGTTGCGTTATAGAGGTAGTACCTTATATCAGAACGACCACATCGAGCGTCATAAACGGGAGATGGTTCTTGATATCTGGTCCTCATAAGGCACCTAACTCTCACTTATGGCTCCACGTGCCACACCCCGGGCAACTGCATTGGTCTGCAGGCTAAACTAAGTGAGGGTAACCAGATATGGTGAAAATTTACCGAAAGATTACCGGTATAACTAATCTCCCAGTTGTTGGCCAACAGCTGAGGGTGGATGAGCTGACAGGTGGTAGGGCAACTCATTGTCCTGACGCTGAGAAATCGACCTCAAAGGCGGAAGAGCTAATATATTAGTCAACGGCATTGGGATGTAGCAGGCAACGAGAAACCACTACAATAAAGATCCAATGGATATCTCTAGTATAGTTATCATGGCATGATAAATAATCAACAAAATCTTACTGATCATGGAGATCGGAGGCCAAGATCCGGCAAGAAAAGTGACAAGGTTTTTCGTCGTCAACCAGCGAAAACCTTGTCAAAATATAAATATTACCAACGAAATAATGAAAATTGGAACATGGAAAGCTACCAGCATGTATGAGCCAGGAAAAACACACAACGTTATTCAAGAAATGCAAAAAATGAATATTAGCATTTTGGGTATAAGCGAAACCCGATGGTCGGGAAATGGATGCTGTCATATTAAAGATCACATAATCTACTACTCTGGTAACCAAGATCCCCAACATCGTAATGGAGTGGGTATAATGTTAAAAAAGTCTCTATCTCGTCATGTCCTGAACTTCCTACCTTTATCCGATCGTGTTATGATGTTACAAATAAATACAAACATCACAAAAAAGAATATAATACAAGTATACGCACCAACAGCGGACAAAGAAGAACATGAAATAGAAACATTTTATGAACAAATTGACTCGGCATTGAAACTGGCCAAAAAAAAGGACATCACAATAATAATGGGAGATTTGAATGCTAAAGTTGGGAAAGGAAGGACAGATGATTTGGTAGGAAATTTTGGATTAGGGAATAGGAACGAGTCTGGTGAAGGAATGGTACAATTTTGCCAGGAAAACAGAATGGTAATTACAAATACCTTTTTCGAACTACCCAACAGACGTTTATACACATGGAGATCTCCACAAGACACAGAACATCACATAGTGAGAAACCAAATAGACTATCTACTAATCAATGAAAGATACAGAAACAGCATAATGTCAATTAAGACATACCCTGGTGCAGATATATCATCTAATCATAATCCACTAGTTGCAAGAATGAAAATAAAACTAAAGAAAATTAATAGCACAACCCCCAAAAAAGCAGTTGATATCAACACATTACGAAAACCAGAAGTAAGAGAACAGATGATACAAGAAATTGATGAAGCAGTAACAAAGATACAACCCATAAAAGACAACACAAAAGTTAACATCAATGAGAATTGGACAGATATTAAAACAGCGTTAATGAAACCAAGCATAAGTCACCTCCATAAAAGTAAAGAATATAAAAAAGAATAGATGACAGATGAGATACTGAACTTAATGGATGAAAGAAGAAAACAGAAAAACAAAAAGAACCAGAAGTATAAAGAGATACAAAAAGAAATTCATCTAAAAATACGCACAGCTAAAGAAAACTGGTACGGGGAAAAATGCGAAGAAATCGAACAACTACAAAATAAACACGACAGCTTTAATGCACATCGGAAGATCAAAGAGTTGACGAGGAGACAAAGTAACAGACACAACATATTAGTAGACGAGAGTGGAAACATTATTATGGACACAGAAGAAAAATTAAGAGTCTGGAAACAGTACATAGAACAACTGTTTAAAGATCAAAGAGACAATGTAGATAACGAATACATAAACAGTGACACAGGACCAGAAATAACAAGAGATGAAGTGGAATACACGATTAAAGAAATGAGGTCGGGGAAGGCTACAGGCCCAGATGAACTACCAATAGACATAATTAAACTCATCAAAGGCAACAACTTAATAAAGATCGTGGAACTATTTAACAGCATTTACAAATCTGGTATCATTCCTAATGAATGGCTAGTAACAACAATAATAGCCATACCCAAAAAGTCTAATGCGAGACAATGCTCGGAACATCGCACCATCAGTCTCATGTGTCATATATTAAAGGTCTTCTTAAAAATCATTCATCGGAGAATATATAACAAATTGGAAGTTGACATCGGACCCTCTCAATTTGGCTTTAGAGACGGACTAGGAACTAGAGAGGCACTGTTTGCTTTTAATGTTCTAACACAACGATGTTTAGACGTAAATCAGGACATAATTTGTGTGTTTCCTAGACTATAACAAAGCATTTGATACAGTAAAACATAGGACACTGATGAAAATACTGGAAAATAAAAATATTGATACAAGGGACATGCGAGTGATAAGGAATCTATACTACAAACAAGAAGCTACAGTACGAATTAACAGCTCGATATCAGATAGAATACAGATCAAAAGAGGTGTTTGGCAGGGCTGTGTGTTGTCTCCAACCTTGTTCAATGTCTACGCGGAAGAAGTTATTAAAAAAGCTCTTATGAACGAAAAAGCCGGAGTAAAGATCAACGGTCACCCCATTTGCAATATCCGATATGCTGATGATACCGCGCTCATAGCAGAAAATATTGACGACCTACAGAGATTACTAAACAAAGTGGTAGAAGCAAGTGAAGAATTTGGTCTGTCACTGAATACAAAGAAGACCAAATTCATGATAATTACAAAGAAACGTATCAATAATATCAACTTACATGTAGGACAGAATCTCATTGAACGAGTACAAAATTACAATTACCTCGGAACAAATATTAACGAGTCAAACGAATACACCAGAGAAATAAGAATAAGAATAGAGAAAGCCCGCAGTGCCTTTAACAACATGAAAAAATGTTGTGTAGCCGAAACCTAAGCCTAAAACTGAAAATACGAATGCTTAAATGTTATGTTTTCTCGGTCCTGTTATATGGGATGGAGGCGTGGACACTAAATAAGCAATGTATGGGTAAGCTGGAGGCATTTGAGATGTACCGAAGAATGTTAAAAATTTCCTGGAAGGATAAGATAACTAACCTAGTTGTATTAGACAGGATGAACAAACAAAAGGAGGTCGTATTGAGTGTTAAAATGAGGAAACTACAATACCTGGGACATATTACACGTGGGAATAAATATCAACTGTTACAACTAATTATGCAAGGAAAGATTGAAGGTAGGCGCAGCATAGGTAGAAGAAGAATGTCATGGTTGAGAAACCTCAGGGAGTGGTTTGCTTGCACTTCCATACAATTGTTCCGAGCGGCAGCCTCCAGGGTCAAAATTGCCATGATGATAGCCAACCTTCGTAGCGGAGATGGCACGTGAAGAAGAAGAATGTCTATTTCCACTTTGTGATATATTCGGTTATGGATGACTTTCAACATTAACTCTAGCACATGAGACATCAAGCTAATGGTATGGTAATCGGTAATGTTTATGTTAGGCACTTAAAATGTCTAGTAAATTTGTGTTTTGTGGAAGATTTTTATAAGATTCTAGAATCATATTTTAAGGTAAGAGCTCCTTTATTGGCTAAAGTCAGCATTTTAGTATTCACAATGCATGAAAACACTTCTAGAATACAGATATCACAAAATCATATTATTTTAGGTTAAGTGTTTCCAAAAAAGGTTCATGTCAACAATGAGCACACTTTCGGATAAAATCGGAGATCATATGTTAAAGATCAGAACGAAATGGTGTTGCACAAAATGGGAAAAGACAGAGAATTTTGACCACCATTAAAAGGCGAAAGACAGCATATTTGGGACACATACTTATAAATGATAAGTACGAGTTGTTGCAGCTGATTATGAAGGGCATAATCGAAGGAAAAAGAGGTCCTGAGAGATTTTCAGCAAATATGTTTAATGAAAATATTTACCAAAAATGATTTTTATGAAAAAAAAATCAAAAATATGTATATGTGGGATAGATGGGATTTTAACTCGATTCTGGTATGCCCATACAATATGGATATTAGGATACTAGGAAAAGTATTCACAAGGTGGGGAGTTTGTTGGCATCTACATAACGGAAAAGAATATTTAGAAAATGAATGGTATCTAATGATCTAATAATTAAATCTATGATATGTTCTTAAATATAAATGTTTAGAATAAAGAAAAAATTAAACTTACGTCTAAGATCAATTTGAGAAGTAAACAAGTCAAGATTTATATAAAAACTAGATACTCAACTAAAAATAAATTAAGTATATGAGTAAATTGAAATCATACCTGTCCTCTTCATCCGTCCTCACTGTTTCAAAGCTAGCTTCAGATAGTTGTGCAATAACAAGATCGCACTCTTCCACGCTAGCTTCTAATTTTTCCGCAAAATCCGCGATACTTTCACTCGTTTCCGGTATACAATCACCGGAATCAACGGCACTGCTTTCGCTCTCAGTTGGTTCTGAGCGAGGTTGCTTGCCCTCGTGTAGAATTAAGGTGTTCGGGAGGGGCTGAAAGGATTCGACCACCGGAGGTTCTTTTTTAATGGATTCGACTAGGTCTATTGTTTCGACGGGTTCTGGAGATTCAACTGGTTGGTCTTTGCTGATGTCTGATTCTGATCTGCTTTCAGAAACGTCTAATGTTTGAATCAAAGTGATGTCATCTGAATGAATGTGTTCTACCACCAAACTGTAGGGTTCCTTATCTTCTATATGAGTGATTTTTAAATTATCTGTAACTAGAAACATAAAATTAGTATATAAATCATAAAGGACCCAAACGATTAAAGCTATATCAGTTCAAACTACGGCTATAGCAGTACGGTTATTATTCCATGATTATCACTCCGTTCTTATAACTTGTAAAAACTCAACACGCTTGTAGGAACAGAAATAATATGTCTCCTGGAATAGACAATATCCATTACCCAGTGATTACCGAGATCCCAGTTTTAACTAAGTAGCTCGTATATATATATATATATATATATATATATATATATATATATATATATATATATATATATATATAAACAAGTATAACGTACCAACATACCAGACAACTGGAAAGAATATTTAATAATACCTAAACCTAAAGCTTCCTCAGACTCATACAGACGTATTTCATTGGGATCTTGTGTCATGAAAAATTATGAACGACTTATTAAAAATAGGTTAGAACACTATCTGGAAAAAACCAGTTATTACCAACAGTCCAGTATGCAGTATGCCAGAAGAGGACGATCGATTCAAGAAGTTACAGCATCATTTTTTTAATGATGCACAATTAGCATTTACCCGAAAAACTCAGTCTCCTGCTTATTTTAAGACATTAAGGGAGCTTAATCTAGACATACTAACAGATAAATTATATACCATAGGAATTCCAGGTATTATTGTGAACCTAATGAAGTTATACCGAGATAGAAAAGTGCATCTAAAAATAAATAGAATAATAGGTATGCCCAAATCAACATCAGTTGGATTGCCACAAATAATCATACCAAGTCTATTATTTACGTTATACACTGCTGATGTTACCAGTTCTATTACTGAGGAAACCAGATTACTTCAATACGCAGACAACTTGCATTTATACAGAAAATAAATCGATCGAATCTTCCATCAATGCATTAGAAAACACCACGGAAAAAATTGTTGAATGGTCGCAAAGAAATGGATTCTGCATCCCTCAAGAAAAATCAGTCATTTACAAGAAGACGATATCAGCCACCAAACCAAATTAATATAGGACCATTCACATTTCCATACAGAACATCAGTTAAACACCTTGGCATATTTTTAAATGGGAAGCTCTCTTGGAAAGAACATATTCATCATTTGTCAAAAAATGTAAAAACGCAATAAATGTACTAAGAGCTTTTAGTCACACAAAGTGGGGAGCAGGCCCAAATATATTACTAATCTTCTACAGAGCGCTAATATGTTCAGTGATAAACTATGGATGTATCTTATATGGAAATACACATTTGACTTTGTATCTTAGACGACAATTTTTGTGTGATTTTTTTATATCTAAAGTCCTAGCACAAAAAGATCTGACAAAATGTGGAACTCAATTCCAAAATAAATAGTTCCTTCTGGTGACGTAAAAATCATCACAAAGAGATAAACAGTTATCAGCGTTTTACATCACATATAAAATGCGTTTATTAACCAAACAATTCTAAAAAGATGGCCCCAGTCAGATTGTATTTATACAGATGGATTAAAATTTGACGAATCTACAGGATGCGCGAAATCAAAATATACTCAAAAAATTTCTAAATCAAATGTCTATTTACACTGCTGAACTCATCGCAATTTTTCAGGCTTTGTTGAGATATATTAAAGCCTAACACAAGAGTAAGTTTGTTATATTAACCGATAGCAAAAGTTCGATAGACACAATAATACAAACTAAATTATCAAGCTGTTCATCAGTAGTGATTATAAGAATTTTAGAAGATTTTTTTATTCACTTACGAATAAAAGTTAACAAATTTCTTTGGTTTGGATTAAGGCCCATATGGATACTACTACAACAGGGGAAACGATAAAAGAGTCATTAGAAATAAAAATATGCTTTATTGTCACTGGAAATTATACAATTTTATGGACAAAGCTTACAAAAAGTAAAAAAAATGCCAGTCACTGATCAACGATAATGGTTTAAGAAAAAACAAATGGAGCAGTGGCAACAGGAATATGATCTCATTGAAAGGTATAAGATTTCGTAATAACCAAAAATTCATAGAAAACCGGGGTTTTACGGTATTACAAATCGGCAGTTCATTAAGACCTTAAGCACAGCAAGGAACAAACATGGTTTATATCCATCCCACAAAAATAAACTACGGTTAGTCACTTCTCAAAACTGTACTTGCAGAGAGTTGAGTACATTAGAGCATGTGACTTTCGATTGTGCAAACTTCCAGATGCTCCAGACGCACAAAAAAAATCATCTTCCCTTTGGCAGATTAGTATTGTGTCGTCTGTATACAAGATTATTTTAAGTTGTTTTACTCCCATTTGGTTTACTTTTTTATGTTTTTATCCATGATCAGATGAAGCCTCAGGGAATCCCTCTGTCTAATCCCATTGCTAGCTTAAATTGGGTCAGTTAGTTCTTCTCCTACTTTTACATTTATTGTGTTGTTCTGGTTAGTTCTGGTAAGAAATTAGAAGACGTATTGAAATAGCAAGATCTGGCTTCATGAACATGAGTAAAATGCTCTGTAACCCCAAGCTATCAATCACAATAAGGTTAAGAACACTAAAGTGTTATGTGTGGTCTCTACTACTATATGGCTGTGAGACCTGGACATTAAAACAGTATGACGTCAACAAACTGAATTCATTCTAAATGTGGATGTACCGCCGAATGCTAAGAAAAAGCTGGACCAGCAAAACTACAAATGAAGAGGTACTGGAAATAATGAACACACGACCTCATCTGGTTAATACAATCAAAATTAGAAAGACGTCATATCTAGGACACATAATGCGCCATAAGGAATTTGAGCAGCTCCAGGTAATATTAGAAGGCAAAATCGAGGGTAAGGTATAGGAAGAAAGAAGAAATCCTGGCTCCGAAACATCAGAGATTGGACTCACACAACATCTTCTTCTTCTTCTCGTGCCACTCCTAGCGGAGATTGGAAATCATCATGGCCACTGCGACTTTGTTAGCAGCGCGCCTGAAAAGTTCAATCGAACTACACCCGAACCATTCACGTAGATTACGAAGCCACGATATTTTTCTTCTTCCCACACTTCTTTTGCCCTTAATTTTGCCCTGCATGATGTTTCTTAAAAGTTCGTACTTTTCACCTCTCACAATGTGCCCCAAGTATTCCATCTTTCTAGTTTTTATCTCATTTAGAATTTCGCATCTTTTGTCTAAAGTTTGGAGTACTTGCGTGTTAGTGATGCGGTCCATCCATGATATTCTGAGAATGCGCCTATAGCACCACATCTCGAAAGCTTCGATGTTTTTTATGGTCAACTGTTTTATTGTCCAAGCCTCAACTCCATATAGCAGGTAGAAAAGACATAACACCGCAGCATTCGTATGCACTCACACAACAGGAAATGACTTAATCCTTCAAGCCCAGAACAGAGAGAAATTTGCCATATTGATCGCCAACCTCAATAGAAAAGGCACTTAGGAGGAGGAGGAGGTGTTGTTCTGGTAGATATTTTAGATCAATTTGATTATTCCTAGAGGTGTCTCTCTTGCGTACAATAAGTGGATAACATCCTCCAATTTTGCTTGTCAAATGTCTTCTTAAGGTCTATAAGATATAAATATTCCATTTTGTTGTATTCTAATGATTTCTCTTACATTTATCTCATTATAAATATAGCGTTGGTGCACGATCTGCTAATGTTATAATTTCATTCAGTTTAGTTGTTAAAACTTTGTATTGTTCTGAAGCTATTTTCTTGTGGCATTGTAATTTGAGAATTTTGTATTTTGAGAACGATTTCCGAAGTGGAAATTGAAACGTCAATAAACGTATTTTTATCTTTAATTGTGGCTTATTCCCAGTTTATTAGTAATTAAGTTAAAACTTTGGTTGTTAAATTTAGTAGTGTGTTTAATAAATTGATTCCTCCGTAATTCTCCGGGTCCGATTTGTCTCTATTTTTGAAGAGAAGTATTTATTAGGAAGCATGATCTCCATTCTTGTGGCATGCTGTTTTGTTCTATTTTATTTTTTTGATTAGTTTTGATAGCTGTTAGATTTGGTCCTCCTTACTTTAAGAGTCGATTCATATGTTATCATTGTGTAATAAAATAGCCTTTAAACTAGTTTTTGATGAATTAATAAACAAAATGCTTGGTGAAAACATCTTAGTCAACATCATATTTTCGATTTAGCGCCCGAAAGGACAAGAATAAGGTATTTTTAGTAAAAAGTTTATTCATTATCATGTTGGCCTGTGGATTAATGTAAACATTTAGTCTACTCCAACTTCTGCAAGAATTTTTGTAAGGAAATATATTTTTGTATTTTGTTTTAGTATTTATTGTCACATAATTAAAAATTTGCTTTTATGTAGTGTACATTTCTATGGCATTTTGTAACTATTTAATTTTTTTCAATATACCATTCTTCAAAGTAAAAACGATGCACGTCACAATTTATATAAAGTGACGTCACTTATACGTAATATTTCCAGAACGTCAACCTTAGTATTCAAATTTTCCTAACACAGCTAATAATATGAAACCCATACAGAACTGCTCGATCTTTCATAGACGTCAACATGGTATAATAACCAGAAAAATGTAATCATTATTATATTGGGAATTTTAGAATTATATTGATTAAATAATCAAAAACATTTGTTATTATTAATAATATAATTTTATGGAATAACTCTTTAAGTCTAATATTACACATAATAATAATTTTAATTGAATAGATTAGACGTTAGACATTAGACAGTTCAGCGTAAGGCAAAATTGTTCAACCGCTTTTTTAGAGTAAGAATTTTGTTTATGTTTTAATTTCTTACACAATTTGATTAAAATATATTAAATATTAATAAATTGTATTTATAAATACATATTAAATTTAGGTTAATAGCTTTATAAACGAATTATTGTTGTGTATTGTGATTGTGCTATGTCAAAACAAATAAATAGTCTGTAGAAAGCTGATAAGCTTTCATATAAGATAGATTATTTTGAACAAGAAATAATGGAGGGAGGTTTTTACTATTAATACTCTAAAAGAGATATGTTCAAAATTTAGAATATATAATTTTGTATTAAAATGTTTTCTTATGTATTTGAGTGTGTTGCAGTAGTCTTCAAACTAATTATATTTACTGTTGATATGACAGTTTGACATATAGTTGACATTTTAAAAATTCCTCACTTACTAACTCTTCTGATGTTTTGGCAACGCTGTGGGGTTCTGACATAAATCTTGAATGACGTGCAATCATTTTTATATGAACGATTCTATATGGAGTTCATCTCTAGAGTAAAAAAGAGTGAGCAATATGCAGTAAGTTAAGTTTGCAAATTAGATATGCACCCTATAAATGGCAACACTAGGCGCCGTTGACTTTCCACGAACCTCCGTTGACCCGTCGCTAATAATTTGTCACTATACCGTGGTTGTTTAAAGCAATAACAGCGTAGATTTTTAATTTATTTTTGTAAAAAACATCTCTGATTATACGCCCGAAGAAAGGGTTCAAATAAGGAAACGGTTTTATGGTGGTAATTCTGGACAACAGCGTGAAGATGTATTTATTGTGTTTTTTTGGGGGACACTAATTCCTTGCGAACAGTCAATTCATAATATTGTTACGACGTTAAATTTTTTGAGTTATTATTGCTTTAAAAATTGCAGAAAATGACACGCTTACGAAGTGTCACCAGAAAATTTTGAGGAAATGGAATACTGGGATACACAAATTTGTGCAACGATCCATGTGTATTCAACACGTTCAGGTAGAAGCGTTGCTAGAGAGTTAGATGTTAACAATGTTACTGTAACGAAAGTCAGGAAAAAGCAAGGTTACAAGAATTTTAAATATTCGAAAAGGAAGTAGCTTTATCCAGACGACTACTTTCGAAGAATGGAGTTTTGTGAAACTCTAATAGCGGAGCCAAATAGTGAACCAAATTTTATTAAAAACATTTTATTTACTGATGAAATTTCTGTTTCGTTACTAGGGAAACACAATCCTTCTAGTGCGAGGTAAGGGGCGCAGGAAAACCAGCACAGAAGTGTTGTTTACCAAACTAAACGTCCTCAAGAAGTTAACGTCTGGACTGGCATTTTAGGAGACCACATAATAGGTCCATGTTTTATTGAGGGTAACATGAATAGTAGAGAATACTTCAATTTATTACAGAATCATATTCTTCCCGCTATTCTCAATCTTCCTGATGTAAATTTGGAGAATGTTTAATTTCATCAAGACGGCTGTTCAGTTCACAATGCTCGAATAATTAGGGAATACTTAAACAATACTTTCCCGAATAGAGTTGTCAGTGGAACAGGTTATATTAATGTGGAGATCGCCTGCGCGATCTCCACATCTTAAACCCATGGACATTTAAAAAGCATCATCTATGATCATCCTGAGCATAGAGCCCAAAATTTGGATGAAATAAAAACCCGAATAAGAGAAAAACTCCAATTCTGTTACAGCAGAAATTTTTTCATCTGTCCGCAGACGTTTTTATGGCACATTGGAATACTGTTCAGTCGCAGATGGTCAAATATTTTAATAATTTCTGTAGGGCATAAAGAATTATTCCTTATCGTATTAGGAATTATTTTTTATTTTCAATACGACTATATTTTTTGTTTTATCTTTTTAAAGAAATGTCCACAAGGAAACTAAGTTCCTGTAGCTGGCTGTATACCATGCATTACAAAAAATGTATTATCGGGCTATATTATCACAAAACGTTTACGGAATCTGGAATGATGGAATATAGATTCCGAAAGCGTTTTTTGATATAGCCCGATTGGGTGTTATAATTATATACCTTTTATAAAGGATTTTAAATAATTTTTTTTAACACGTTAAGCGCCACCATGTTAAAAAGAAATGCAGTTCTAGGGGCCGCTGTGTAAAATTCATAAATATGTATTAAAAATGCCCTACTTAACTGTGTCTTTTATAATTTATATAGTATAATGTTATTTTCTCATGAAAACATTGTTGTATCGAAATGGATACAAGTGGCCCATTTTCATAAATTGACGCTGTTGGCCACTTGCATCGATTTGGATTCAGCATTATAAACTATAAAATCCGGACCTTATGTTCAAACAGAAAAAATAATCCTCCTGAAATTGTGAAAGCAAAGTTAGAGAAGTATCAGTCTACGACTTTACAAAGCAACACAAGTTGTAATGTGTTAACATGAAGGACAAAAAAAATGTCTTGGTGATTTCAACATAGCACAGCAATGCAATGACTCCTGTAAGAAGATATGGCGAGGAAATAGAAAAACCGACAATAATTTTTGAGTACAATAGATGTACTACTAGTTTACGAAAAGGGATCAAATTGCATCGAAAATTAGCAATAGAATTACTAACAGGAACTACGCTAATAAATGCGTATTGTGTACATCAGATCGTAACGAAGAAAAATATGTCCATCAGCAAATTCAAAGAACAAGCTCAGCTTTTGGACGAACATTTAACAAGACCTTTTCCGTCTAATAACATCAACAAAAATCATATTTTAGTGGATGATAATAAGAAAAGAAGATGTATGGCTTGCTACGAAAGGCTAACAAACAGCCACGATTGGAAATATGCACAAGCCAAATCTTCGTAAACTCGCCACAAATTTAATGCTTGTAAAGAATTTTATTGTCTCAAATGTTTTTTTATTTCTCATAAATCTGAAATATTAATGTAATAACATTTATTAAGAGTTTTTATTAATAGCTTCTAAAAATAAATGTGTTATTCTTTTATTTAAATTAATTGCATTTTATTTTTAACAAAATGTGTTATATAATTATCAACTTGTAAAAAAATCGTTGACCAAAAACAAATTTTGGACCAGCCGGCCATGCTTTATAAGTCTCCCATTCAAATACAAACCCTGCATTCTTTTGAATTCAGCTAGCCAAAAGTGAAAGTATTCCTTTGTATCTGTTTGGATACAGGTGGCCAAAAATTATCAAAGTCGTTTGAATCTAATAGGATACAAATGGCGCTTAAGGTGTTAAAGAAATGCTCTTTTACTTTTAATTCAACCAAAAAAAATTGACGAAATTAATGAAAACAAAAATCGACCTATGGAGATGTATATCCCATGCATTGTTATGTGTTACTAAATAGTTTTCTCGTTTTCTGTGTAAATGTCGGACGAGATCGGAGATTCAATGTTGCCGATTTTAGCGCTGTATGTAGTGACCAATATATAATTCAAAACTTAACGTACTGTATATTATTATAATGAAGATATGAAACTTACCTATATGGCATTCACTATCATCTTCAGTTATCTGCAACGGATCTGTATCCATAGGTGCAACATCGGATAGATCAGGTGTTGGTGCTAAAGGATCCTCTTGATCTTCTTGATCATCCTGCTCCGTCGTAGACGTTGTAGATGATGTTTCATCGGTTTGATTATGATCTTCCTCTTTATAGTCTATATGAAGTTGCAGAGAATCAACAGTTTCTATCGTTTCGTTGCTAGAAATCTCTTCCATATTGTGGGTAACAATACTACTCGAACTGCTGCTATTTTCATCAATGTGTCTATTGTCTTTGTCGTAGTTGTAAGAGTCGTCTTCCATATTTTCCGACATGGTTTCGCTTGCTTTATCATCGTCGCTGATATCGTCTGCTAGGTGATCGTGTGGCTCTTCTAAGATGTCTTTTTCATTCTCACTGGGTTCTAATGTCTCTAAGTGGTCTGCAGCTAGATAAACAGTAAAAGCTAAACGAATATAAATAACAAAACTAGTAACTGCGTGAATTTCCACTCGTAATAACTTATCTATGTTTACTGTATGTAATTCTAAAAAATTTTGACAATTTCAAAAAATTAAATATTAGTAATATGTTGATTATATTATATCATATATTATATATTGATATTATTAAAAAAAAGAAGAGTAAAATCTTTTAAATCTAAGTAATTCTTGTTTTAGAAAACATTTGTTTTGAAAATGCTATATACATATTATTTTTCTTCTCCTTTACTTAAGAGTTGTGCTGTTATTTTTATTTTTTTGTAACGCTTAATATGTATTTGGTCTGCAATACTTGCGTTCTGTGTAATCAGCACATTCTGCAATTCTGTCGACTCCAGAGATATTAGATCCAAGAGTCTCCATCTATATAATCATCATCGTTTGATATCATCTGACCATTGTTTTTGTATCTCATAATACTTCCAACAAATATATATATATATATATATATATATATATATATATATATATATATTATTATGAAAACAGAAATACAATAAATTAACTTTAAATATATACAACCAGATAATATCTGGTTGTATATATTTGTATAATATCTGGCATATTATGCAGTGTTGATTAGTAGATTTATTTAAATAGTGGTTAGAGACATAATTTGTAAGTTATATACTAGTTAATATTATAAAAAAATAATTATATGAGGGTATTTTTAAGAATTTAGCATAAGAATTAAGTTTAAGAAATTTTTTTTATTTTATTTTATTTAATATTTAATATGTTTACTCAGCCATGTGCTATGCAACCAAACATACACTGTAGTGTCAAAGTCAAATAGTTATTTATTTTTGGAATGTTAATTTAGAATATAATTGTGGATGTAGAATAGTAAAAATATATTTCATATAAATGTTTAAGTTACATATAATAGTGTAGTTCTGATCTGGAGAGCCTAAAGTCAAGTAAAGTATTGATAGAAAACTCTAGAAATGTCAATGAGACTGTATACATAATACATCACAGACAGGAAATCATTCCAGAATTTTCAAGTAGAAAAAATAGAATGATTCGAAGATTATTTATTGCTAGAATATTCTGGAAACAATGAAAGGATATAAAAAGCCATGTAATTTGGCGAGAGAGTTTAGTTCAGGTCAGTTAAAGTTTTAGTTCAGTTAGAGTGAGTTTGAGTTAGAGTTTAGTCAGTCAGTTATGAGTTCAGTTCAGTTAAGTTCAGTCACCAGTTCAGTTATCAGTTAGTAAAGTTATAATTCAAGAATTTAGTTACAAGAAGATTATTATTGAGGAGTTAGTTATAACAATTTAAGGATTATTAAGTCAGTTATTTATGAGGTTATGAAGAGATTATTCAATGCTAGAAGGCATTGATTAAGTTAAATGAATTATTAAGTTAAATACAGTTGGAGATTAATTATTACTACAGTAATATAGTGACAGTTTTGAAGTTAATTCATTGAAATAAGCATTCAATAATACAACCACAAGATCCAGTATATTTCAAAGTACATTAAGTATATGAAAATTATAAGGAGTTAAATATATATTTATATGGTGAGTGGAGAGAATTAAGAAGGAACATATTAACATAGTTGGATAACCAAGGCTTAGTAAGAAAATATCGAGTGGTGATAATAACTTTAATTTTGGAAAAACTTTAGGCGTTCAGTGGAAGAAGGTACCAAATTTTGTTAATAATTTAATAAATTATAAGAATTTCAAATTTTAGATAGATTGTTTTAAATTGATATTGCTTATATTAGATAGATAGGTTTGTTTCATAATATTTATAATAAAGATAATTTAAAAAAGTACTTACAAACTAATTCTTTGAGAACCGCGATAAAAACCCTATACTTACATATATCATTCAAATTTACTCATTGCTCATACAACAACAACACATCATAACAATATATAAATATTAACAAAATAGAGATTTTTTAAAGGGACAAAAACTTGTCTATTCCATTTGTAATACACTTTAATATGGTGAAGAAAACATCATCCGCTAAATATTCATCTCTTAGTTACAAACCCTAACTTAAATTTCTTAATGGCACTCTGTACATTTTTATAGTTTTAGATGTGGTTTTCTATCGTCTATTCAATCAATTTTTTAAAAATAAAATGGGTTTGTAAGGTATCAAGAAAATATCAGTTTATTTTTTATTTTTGTTAAATTAACCAAGATAGCCTTAAAAAATAGAAGAAAAAAGAAATATTATGCTTTATTATCAATGAAAATTTTACTATTTTAACTACGTAGTATAACTTCTTACGTACGTACGAAGTACACACTCTTTTTATTTAAACATTATTTTTAATTATTCAAAATTTGGTCTTGGTAGGAGCATACGTTATCTTCCAGTGTGCAAAAATTAACAAAAAAATCTCTTATAATAGTCACAATATTTGAAAAACTTCATGATTTGATCTGTCAAATCAACAATTATTATTTTTGACGTTTGGTAATAAACCAGTAATAATTATCCACAAGGAAAACAATTCCTGTAGCTGGCTGTATACCACGTATCACAAAAAAAGTTGACTATGGTTAAAAAGCAAAAATGGCTATACTTACTAGGTTAAAATGCCTGAGCCACCAAAAATACATGGGTAAAAACCCTTTAAATTACATATAGTTAATAAAAGATTATACATCTTGTTGTTAAAAAACTGTGATGTTCAGTATTAAATTAAATATGACTTCAGGTAACATACATTGCAAAAATTGAATTCCGGTATTTAATTTAATACTGAACATCACAGTTTTTTAACAACAAGATGTATAATCTTTTATAACTATATGTAATTTAAAGGGTTTTTACCCATGTATTTTTGGTGGCTCAGGCATTTTAACCTAGTAAGTATAGCCATTTTTGCTTTTTAACCATAGTCAAAATTTCATAACCACGTTTGTTTTAACTAAATGGTTTATACTTATTTTAGGCGATTTTAAACCTGATGATGGACTGTTTAGTCCGAAAACGTTTGTTTTTTTATATGTAGCAATTTTAAGGGTTTTTATGTACCCACTTACGAAGACTAACCTCTTTTTTTGTAATAATTATATTTGTTGTAATTGTGTATCTATAACATTTCAATATGCTTCCCACAAGGAATCTACGTTCCTGTAGTTGGCTGTATACCATATATTAAAAAATTTATTAAAAATCCTTTGTAAAAGGTATATATTAAGAACCCAAACGGGCTAAGTTAAAAAGACAAAACGTTTTCGGAATCCACATTCCATCATCAGTGTCTAAGAGTACATGAATGTAGCCACTAAATATATGGGTAAAAACCCGTTAACAAATAATTAATTACATTTAGTTTACAAAATTTCTTATAATACTTTAACATCCTAAACCATTATAAGAAATTTCTTCAACAATCGAAGGTAAATAATATTAGTTAGTTAGTTGGTGTTTTGATTTATTTTTTCATGTAATTTTTATTGCATTTATTTTTATTGTTCCTTTAAGTTTTATTGTTCCTAAGGTTGTATTTTATTTGTACGAGTAGTATGTTCAATTTGCAATTTATTTAAAGTTTGCAATAAATTGTTTTTGTTTTACTTTCATTCTTTTATTTTGTAATATTGACGATTTATCTAATTTCAGTGACAATAAAGCATATTTCTTTTCTATTCTATTTTTTAAGGCTATCTTGATTAATTTAACAAAAATAAAAAATAAACGTGACGTTTTCTTGATACCTTACAAACCCATTTTATTTAAAAAAAAAATATCGGTTAAATACACGATAGAAGACCATATCCGAAACTATAAAAAAATGTACAGGGTGTTATTAAAAAATTTAAGTTAGGGGTTGTAACTAAGGGATGAATATTTAGGGAATGATTTTTTCTTCGCTATATTAAAGTGTCATCATCATCATTCAGCCCATACTCGTCCACTGCTGAACATAGGCCTCCCGTAGTTCACCCCACAAATTTCTGTCCTGAGCCGCCTGCATCCAATTTTGATGTGTCCGTTTCAGGTCATCCGTCCATCTTGTTGGTGGTCGTCCTCTATTTCTAAAGGCATCTTGTCTGGGTCTCCACTCAAGAATGCGTTTTGTCATCTGCCGTCCTTCGTTCTTGCGACGTGCCCTGCCCAGTTCCATTTTAATGTTGATAATCTTTTGATTGCGTCGGTTACTCCCGATCGACGGCGCAATTCTGTGTTGGGTATTCGGTCTCTCAGGGTTAATCCCAACATGGACCGTTGGTTACAAATGAAATATACCAATGTTTGTACCTTTAAAAAATCTCTATTTTGTTAATAAATATAGCCTGGATAAATTAGTCTGGGACACTTAATTAACAAAAATAAAAAATTAATTGATTTCTTGATTATTTACAAACCGATTTTATTTTTAATAAATCTGTTGCATAGACGATAGAAGACCACATCCAAAACTATAAAAAAATATACAGGGTGCTATTCAAAAAATTAAGGGATTGTAACTAAGGAATGAATATTTAGGGGATGATTTTTTCTACACCATAATAAAGTGTATTACAAGTAGAATAGATCTTTTTTATTTGTCCCTTTCGAAAATCTGTATTCGTTTAAGAGATATGGCGTGGGTAAATTAGTCTGGGACACCCTGTATATTGGTATTTATTACATCCACTATGTGGATGGACACATAGGATCCAAGTGCATTTTGTAACTCCTAGAAAAAGTATGTGAATATAACTGTAGATATCGTTAGAATACAACGGATGTAAGTGTTACTTGTATCCTTTGTATTCTTACTTAATCAGCGTTGGTTCACTGTTGACATTAATATACCTTACTTTTAGTACAATATTTTTGTATTATTGTTGTTGTGTTTTAACATTTGTTAATTAGCTAAAGGTAAACTAATACGTTTCAACTAATAAATATTATTTACTACTGACGAATCATAACAATGGAAAGCGACAAAGGTAAGTTTTTTGTTAATTTTAAACAATAGTATTACACTATTCACA